CGAGAGGCCGGCCGACGGCGCGAGGGGCTCCGGCCTGCTGGGGCTCCAGAGAGCCGAATGGCGTTGCGGTCGCTGCGGCTGTGAGCTCCCGGCGCCCACACCATGCAGAAGGCGCTGCGCCTGAATGACGGGCACGCCGTCTACCTGGGGCTGCTGGCCAAGAAGGACGGTGCCCGGCGTGGCTACCTGAGCAAGAGGAGCTCCGACAACACCAAATGGCACCCCAAGTGGTTCGCCCTGCTTCAGAACATGCTTTTCTACTTCGAGAATGATTCCAGTTCCCGGCCAGCTGGCCTCTACCTGTTGGAAGGGTGCCTGTGTGACAGAGCTCCTTCACCCAAGCCCAAGGATCCTCTGGAGAAGCAGGTGGGATGGGAGCATGGGGGGCAGGGGGGCACTGGTTTGGGAAGCAGGAAGGCAGCAGCCTGGGAAAACCCGAGCCCAGCAAGCCTCTTGGGGGGAACTCCTCTGCATGGGGGGGGGGATCTTGGTGGGGGAGCCTCTCCACACCTGCCAGCTGCATTTGGATGCAGGCAAGCCCAGGGCTTCATCCCCAGGGCTTGTGACAACTGTCCTCCCCTGTCCCAAAGACAGCCTCCTTGGCTCCAGCCCCTAAGGATGAGCACCATAAACCTGGTCCTCTCCTCTGCGGTTCAGGACCATAGGCTCGAAGGGCAGGAGGTCCCCCCCCACTCCGTCTCTTGGAGGCATCTGCTCCAGCCAGGGAATAAGTTAAAATGAGGCCTCATGTTTCTTTATAAAATTAAGCATGGTAACCTGTCCAATTAATTAGTCAGCACACTGAAATGCAATGTTCTGGGTGGAGGACATTGTGGGAGGCGAGCTCTGTTAGTCTTTGTGGCAAGAAATCAAAAAGAGTCTGGTAATATCTTTTTGGATTAAAGGGGTTAATAAAAGCTTATGCCTTTTAATAAAAATGTGTAAGTCGGAAAAGGTGTTCCTGGACTCCTCCTGATTTTCTGGGTGGAGAAAAGGAGGAGGCTGTGATCATCTGCAGCAATTCCCACTCCCACCTTCCTTCAAATCTGCTTCCACCAGACCCACCGCCTTCCCTCTCTCAAGCCAGTTCACTATTGGCTTCTCTCTACTGGGGAGGGCTGGAGGCCAGCCCAGGCCACCCCCAGGCCTTAAGTGGTGAAAAGCTGGCAAACAGCCTAGCCTTGCAAGATTCCCTAATTTCCTGGGCCCAGGGCCAGTCGATCTCAGCACAGTTGCTCAGGAGTTACAAACTGCCCCTTGGGCTCCACTGCCACAGCGAGAGAAGTCTTCAGCTCAGTGCTGGAAATACACCCCCAAACTCTGCTCGCAGCATTGGAATTTGGAAGGGATGTGTGAAGCTCCTTGAAGAACTGATCTTATTTGCAGTCAGCGCTCTCAGAACCTCAGGAGACCATGCCAGAGTCTAGTCTGCAAGTGCAGAACTTGGGAAGCAAGAATCCTCTGGGAGGAGATCTCATGAGGAGGAACCTCACATGACTCTGTAGCTTGGGTGGACTAAAGAGCCACAGGACCAGCCAGCCAGACTGAAGAGCAAAGGTGGGCATCTCAGTGATGGGTCTCCCTCTAGTAAACATCAGGGCACAAGAAAGGCCCTTTCTCCTTGAATGCAGAGATTCCTTTCCCAAATGTGAGTGACTTTATAGCCAAGAGGGGAGATTATCAGGTTGCCTCCCTCTCCAGTGCACCCTCTTGAGGTGTACGTGTTTTCTCTCCTCTTTCTCTCTCTGGCATCCTACAGAAAGCCAGATTTCAGAACTTCTTTATCTATTGCTCTTTAAATCTTTAAAACATATTGGGATCCCTCCTTTCGCCATTCATTTCCTACGTAACCATGGCAGCAACCTTTATTTGGTGCTTTTTAAATCTTCAAAACATTTCCTTACCTCAATCCATTTTTGGAATGGTACTCCAGGCCATCCCCCTATTGACCCAACGGACTGAGACCGTTGAGACTCTGGACTGCCAAAGCCACGTAAACCTGGTTCTGAACATGGTCAGGGAAAGGAGCATCTCTATGCATGCTGGGCAGCTGATGGAGCATGGGTCACTTGGTCTGCTGCTCACATGGCTTGCCTTGATGGGAATGTCAGGGCGTCTGTCAGCCCTTCTCCTCAGAGCGTATCTTCCTTGTCGATATTTTGGGAACCAAGAAGGAAAAAAAAAAGCGGGTGGAGAGGGACATGGGTTGGACCAGTTTCTAGTATCTGCCCACTCTGGCCAAAGAGACATTGGCCTATGGCTGGCTTATGAAAGATTCTGGCATTTCTCCAAGGGGCCAGCTGCCGTGCCCCATGGCTTGAGAGGTCTAGTTTGGTGTCCTTAGGCCAGCGAGGTTTTCAAGAAGGCTCCCTGGGAGGACTGACTGCTACTGCTTTCTCAGAACTTCCTCTCTCATGCTTTTGGGGGGTCTTCCTTGCCAAGGATGAACCAGCTCAACTATGAGGTCCTGGGTCACACTTTGGTACAGGAAATCACAAGGGACTATCTCTGTTTTTCAGAATTCCTGCGGACATAATAGTCTCCCACATCTTGGTTGTTCAAAGCATTTTTTTCCTGTATCAGATCAACACAGGAACTTGCTTGCACCAAAACAACTGCACTGAATTACAATTAAATGAATTGCTGCGACTGATTTACTATTGCAGGGTCTTATTCCAGTCAGCCTTATTTTTGCTCCATGTATATGCGCATAGTTCTGGGGTCTGTTTCTGAGTCTTTGTGACAGGTCATCAACTTAGCTCTGCCTAATGAGCATAAGTGAAAGTCATGAGTAGGAAAGCATTGCTTCCTTAAGCAGCCTACAAGGACGGAGGGTCTCTGCCCGAGAGCCAAAGAATGGCTGCCAGCTGAGTTGGCGGGATGGACTCGGCAAGCCTCTGTCCATAAGTTTTCTTGCTGCAAAGGTAAACCAGATGCAGAGAGGAAATCACCAGATGCTGGGTGATTTCTAACTCCCTGAAGATGAGTTAGAGTTTCTTTCTGTCTCTTATTCTTTAAGAAGCCTCCCTCTCATCTCATTTTGGCCCTACTGATGTGTATATGCCTGTACGTATATGGCTAGATGTCTCTGCCAGTATATTAGGCAGCAGCACCTGAGGGGCAGAGCGGGGCTGGGGCAGAGCTCAGTTAAATTGCTGGGTGCCCTAAGCTGTGTAGACATGAACTGAGCAAACCCTTGTTTCAGTCAGAAGAGTGGGAAGCTTGAAATGGACTAATTGCTTATCCAATTTACAAAAGAGATGATGGGCCCATTAAGCATTCATGGAGTCTGAGCTTCCGTTTTCCCAATTCCCACTCCAGAATCAGGAAGAGATTAAGATACCTCACACCTTGCCCCCAAACAGCCATCAGCCAAATGGGGCTTCTGGAGCCACAGGTTTGGCTGCAAAGCCAACCCTTGCATAGCTCTACAAATTCAGTTGTTCCACTTCCACTCCAGTTTGAAGGCAAAATCTCCAGGCACAAAAATGGTTTTGCATTCTCAGGAGCCCCGTTTGTCTGAAGAACTGCAGGCTTTCAAAGGATCGGTAATGCCATGAAATCCACCAGCCTGCCCAGAGCAGGCATTCAAACTGAAGTCTCCCTGATGAAACCCCACCAGCTTGCTGGGTCATCAGTTCCACTTTCACATTACTTTTACTTTGAGGAGATTGTTGCTAACATCCCACTGGAATTTGCCTTCCTGTAACTTAGATCCATGATTCTATGTCCAGCACTCTGGAACAAGAGCGAGCAGGTTGTGGCCCACTTCTGTGTGACATCCTCAAGCGCTTTAGTCATTTCTTCCCAAGGCTCAGTGACCTGTCCCCCTACGTTCTCCTTGTACAACTTAGTTTTCAGCCTCACCGCTGCCTTTGCTGCCCTTCCCTCTGTCTACCTGCAATTCGTCTCACTCTTCCTTAGAGGGTGGTGCTGTGAAAGGCACACAAATCAAGCTGGGGGGGGAGTCTAACCAGCACATAGTGGTCTTTTTATTTCCTGGAGGTTGGAAATTATATTTCTGCCAATGCAGGCTAAAATTTTAATTTTGGCAGCCATGTCACTGTGATCCACTACAATTACATCTTTTTCACATGGACAATATTGTCCATCCTGTTCCTGCGCCTTTGATATCTGTTTTCTAAGTGAACCCTTTGCATTTGTCTGTATTTTCATCCACCAAGCCATTTGTGAATCCACCAAGTAAACAACCTGTTTAGCCTATATTTGACATATTAGGTCTGTACTGTTCTAAATATGAGATACGGTTAATCAGGCAAGACTTAATGATTCCATGTATTGTTTTAAAATGTTTAATAGATCAATTGCTTTATCAGATATTGGTGGATTCTCCTTTTCCTTTTTCGAAAGTTTGGGGTGTTTGTCTCCTCCATCACCTGTCATATTTGTCAGAATTTTTCATAGATCACTAGCCCAATGATGAGGCATTTCCTCCAGGGCTCTAAGATGTGATCTACCAGGCCCTGGAGTTTTAAAGTCTGTACATATTCCCTGATTAGATTTCTGTCAAGCTGAAGTTGCAGCACTGCTTCTCCAACCCAGAAATGCCATCCTCTTCTCACAGAACTGAACCACAAAAGGGGTCGAGTGTCCTGCCTTTTCTTCGTTACCCGTTAGCGTGTTCTGGCCTTTGCTGATTTTGATTCTGTTTCTTCTTGGATTTTCAGCATATCCGAAGAAGCCCTTTTTCTGGTACTGAGCATCCGTTCCTACTTTCGGCTCATTCTGAGCATTAGCCTCTCTGACAACACCTCTGCCATTCTGGATGACTCTGGTGTATTTGGGATTCTGTTTCTTTTTCCAACTCCAGAACGTGTCCTTTTTATTTCGCCTTCTTTTGCTGCCTTCCCTTTTTCCTCATCTGGAACAGTCTGTGCTTTTGGTATCTCCTTTTTAAATAACTCTAAATAACTTCTGTCCACCTTGTGCTCATTTTCCCATTTACTTCTAACATTAATTGCTCTGTATAGATTAAAATCCACTTTCTTGTAGGTGTGCTTTCAAACTGAGTTTTGGTTTCCTACCCCAATGTTACTGTTGTGTCTACTTGGTCTAGTAAGATTTCCCAATTGATTTATGCAAAGCAAGGGTAGCTGAAGTTCCAAACTTAATAAAATTTATTAAAAAAAAAAAAAAAGCAAAGGTAGCTGAAGTTCCTATGCTTTCTTCTACCTTCTGAAGAAGACAACTGCCAGCAAAATAAGTCAGGGATTTTCTAAAAGGGCCATGCTTGGCAGAGTTTGTCTCCTAACATATGTCAGGGCAATTAAAGTCTCCACCATTACTACTTCACATCTTGTGAAAAATCTTTGCTTTTGGAAATTGCCATCCATACTTTTTCCTTG